GACCCCAAGCAACGAGGCGGGGCTCCCAGTTCCAGCGAACTGAGAGCGCAATTGGCAGATGTCGAAAGCGCGAACTCCTTCACTTTTCCGAGGGAGCCACTGCCATCTACACTTCTGAAGATTTGACTCATAGTTGGTGTGTGTTAGTTTGCGCGTTTGATGGCTGTGTTCAAGCAAGGCTTGTTCTACTGCAGAGATTCTGGGTTGCATCACCGTCACCAATCGGTGGCTTTCATTGCTGGAGCTGACTACAGCATACACCTTCACACACCCTGTGTTGGTAGATGTTTGAAGAAACACAAAAGTAGACCTTTGAGTGGAAAAGGCGGCCAACATCGATTTGGGATTGTCAGGCTCTTCATCACAAGCTGTGCGCAAGCATTGATTTGATGCTATTCTCTGGTTGCTGTGTAACTGTTGCCGTTGGGCCTCCAATGCACAGCGATCAGTCTTTGGCCGCAACCGAAGAGAATGAGACTTCAATGCTAGGGCTATCGAATGTCGCGGACACGTGCTCAAAGCGACGATATCCCCTCACAAACTTTCATGGTGAGAAGAGTCGCATGCCACTTCACTTGCTCCGACACTTCAGCGTCGCAAGGAAGCATTGCTGGTGGTAGAGAACCCCTGCGTTTTTACCCGTGCTGCCCAAATCAGTCAATTTTTGTAATTCTTGCGCCGTTTACCTTGTAAATTATGTTTAGACCATGGTCTGGTCCTTCTTGCTCTTCATCTTCGTAGTCCATGATGACCAGCGGTGGGCATTGCCCTTTGGCATGCTACTTGGAGGGTTCTGCTCACCTTAGTGTAAGAAATGGAAAAAATGTATTTCCCCCCCCCCCCCCCGACCCCCAAAAAACATGTAAATGGCTTCCTCTTGGCGGCATGCTGAGCTTGTCCTAAAACAGGTAGCACAATTGGACACACCTGGTTTGCTTCCTGTGCTGCGTTACACGGAAGTGGAAAACACGCCAGGACCGGCGAACGCAGGACTTAACGGACCTGCGAATCGCGCCACTGGCTTAGCCTTCAGGTGGGGGTTTTGTTGTTTGGGTGTGTGTGTGTAGTTGTATAAGGGTTGTATACACATTGACATACCCTTTGCTTTGTTGAGTTTATGTGTTGCGTGTAAATGTATAGGTTTGTATACACATACCCTCTGCTCTGTTGAGTTTGTTGTTGGCTTTGGTGCAAAGAACGAACTTATTGCCGCTCCTGAGTCCTGAGAGTTGCTTGGTAGTATGTCCGGCCTACCCTCTGAAATCACACTGCGAATTGTGTGCTCGGAACTTGAAGACTAGGGCCAAGGCGCTGCATCTTGCGTCGAGGCCGTTCTCTTAGGATGTATGCATACACATCATATGCTTCATGATGGACTTCACTTTTGTTGCCCATCCATCCAAGCGAGCCGCAACCCGGAAGGTATAGCTCGTACTACAATAACAAGCTCGTGGCACATACTTTCAATAGGTATGACTGGCCACCCTTGCTGCGCCTGGGCTGGATGAGCTGATTGTCAATTGTAGACTCCGTAGGAAAGGCCAATGTGAAGGTCACTTGATGGCTCACCCTCTGATTTCCACTCACCCCCCCCCCCTAAAAAAAAGGGGTTGAACTGGACCCACTAAAAAGCTGACACAAACAAAAACAGCACGGGAATATGGGCATGTCGCAGAACGAGAAGCATCCCAACAGTTGGCGTCTCGGTTTCCCTGGACCAACTGGGAGCCCTCTTTGTGAGCTTCGATTCAAGCCATGTGGGGAAGCAGGGCTGCCAGAACTGCCGGCGTCGCCTAGCATCAGTGATGAACAAAACCCGTGGTTGTTGAGGGCTTACTCCTTGCATGTTGGGGAAGTCAGCAGGACACTAGCCTTTTGGGGGTTTGCCTACTATTTGGAGTCAAGATTGTGTGTGCGGCAAAAGGAGCTGCAAGCTGGTTTTCGCTAGCAATTTGTCTCGCTAAAGTGTGCTTTGCCCTGATCTTGACAGGTCCTTGCAAAGCATTCGAGTTCCGCTTTGATGCTGTTCTTGAACAACATGTTTTTCTATCACGTAGGACTTGATCACACGGAGCCAGTTGCATATTCCGGCAGTCTTGCCACCCTGCCTGTCTGCCTCCCATGATTGTTGGACGGGGCTGTATATCTGATTCTGGTGTTTTCTGAAGCGCACGTCCCTGATGGCCCAAAAGATGTAAGAGGTTTGCCTTCTGGGATTGAAGGCCACTTTCGTAGCATCAAGTACGGGCCCCTTCCTAGTTTGGACGCACGCAGACACAGACTCACAGCCACAAATGGGTGTGTACCTCCCAGTTTTGACATGTTGCACACTTTTCGAGCTTTGGGAGTATCTCCGCTCGGCCAAGGAGAACGTTCCTCCGATGCGGCCAGGCCTTTGGCCTTTCGCCTTTGACTGAACACCAGTTTCAAGGGGCAGCGCGGCTCACTGAGGGGTAGGAGCTTAAACCCCGTGGTGTAGCCTCGATGGTCGGGGAAGAAAATCAAAGTAACTAGGTGTGATGTAGAGGCGGACACGGACATTTCCTCCTGGACCTTTCCGACTATGAAAGCTTTGGAGGGTGTGAGATTAGCAGGGTTGACATCCGAGATATTGCAAATGGAACCCATGTCGGTTTCAGCGATTTGTTCCGCATGTGGCTGTGCAAGCGATCTGGGAATGAGTGCCTGTGTCAATGCCCAGGTAGGCAGAGAGACTTCAGGCTGCTTCTTGATCTTTCATACGTCTTGCATCCAGATCGAGGTCAGACCAGTTCGGAGGGTGATTTGAGATGCCCGTTGCGGGGAGCCCACAGGAACCCCGCGGATTGGCCACCCAGCCCGTCCGTCCGTGATCTCAACCGAAGCATCAGAGAACAAAAGAGGGTGTCTTTGTTTTGGTGGACCCCCAAAACGGTTGTTGTTTTTTTTGGGTTCCCCGAAGGAGTACCGTTCTCGGGTCGCGACAGCGAGTGGCCCATGAGCCAGGTGCATGGCCCATGCCATACGCGGCAGGGAGCATCAGTGGCCCGGCCGGGGCCTACGACGCTTTCCTGGGTGTAGCCTCCTGTTCACCAGAGAAATGGGGGTGGCTCAAAATTAAACAGGCGGGGATACGCAGGTTAAGCTTGCGGTTTGGGAGAGCTTTTTGAAGGAGAGCTGGCAGTGGTGGTCAAAACCCATGGGATCCCATTTTGGGGTTTTCGGTGCACCCATTTTAGAACCTATGTTTGTGGTTGGACTGGGATGTTCACTGGGGGTACGATTTGGATTTTGACCCATGGCCTCCGGAGGCCTCCTGGCCACCAGATAAATGGTCCCTTTTCAAGGAAGCTGGTCCAAACATAGGACACCGAAACGCCAGGCTCCATGTTAGTGGACATATCTTGTTTTGTAGAAATATAACTCCGACACCCTCTTTTGGTTGGAAGTTGCTCGAAACGTAACCCTCTGTTTGTCAGCCATTTTTTCCGCATTATTGAGGTTGACTTGACATTCACCAAAAATTGAGGCCAAGTTGTTGCCACCTCGTTGTGGCAAACCCGACCTTTCCGGCCAACCGTCGGGGGGGTTTGGGCCAACGAAACTGGTCCCGAAAGGTGGGAGACTTCAAGCCGAGCTGGAGACTTTGGGGTCGCAGTTGTTGGACCTGATTTCTTGTGCCCAGGCGCTGTTTGATTTAGGGCCCAAGCACCTGGGTGTCTAATGGAGGGGTCTTTTTTTCTTCCATTGAAAGCCCCAGGAGCGTTTGTGTGGAGGGTCTGGGCAAAAGCGGGCTGTGCTTGTTGCATCGAGGTTTCCGGCTTTCAGGCCGCATCGACATGTGGCAACTCTTGGTGCGTGTGTTCTGTGGACAGGTTAAGCATGGTATCAATGATTATCTTTCGGTCTTCACGTGGCTCGTGTAGCACCTGAGCTGCCAAGGTGCCCGGCGCAGCCTTCCCGATGGCGCAGACAGGAGAAATTCGCTCGCGGGAGTACTGGAAGCCCAGTTGGCCGCCGAAAGGGGTGGAGGCTAGAACGTGTTGTTTCGTTTTGCAAGCCGGAGAATCTGGGCACAGCCCAGATTCTGACTAAAGCCAAAGGTACAGATGGACGCTTCTCAAAATTGGGGACCTCTCAAGGTAGAGTTGTTTCCTTGTGGTTTTCTTTTTAAATCCATCCAAACAGTGCCCCCTATTTCGAGACACTCCCAGATGACTTGTTCCAAAATGTTCAATGTTTGTCCCGCCGAGCCTCAGAGAAGAGCTGTCAGCTTGAACACCCAGCGCCAGTCTGCGCTCGTTTTGGTTCAGAGACTTCGGTTCTGGGCACGGTTTGCTTTTCCTGGGCCTGGCGGGCCTTGTTTGGTACGGCCAAGGTTCGATTTCAAGAGAATCTCCGAGTTTCGTGCACAGCTGTTGCCGGGCTAAGATTTTTTTTGTGCAGATTCGAGCACTCCAGTGACAACCGCCATGTGGCGGCGTTTGCCTCTATGGCATGTCTTGTGTCAAATGCGGTTGGACCGTTCCAAATGGGTTTGGGGATCCAAACGTCTGGGGCATCAGAGGTACGGTGGACGGAGGGGCTCCGAGCGCCAAGCGATTCGCGGCATCAAACATCGCCTTTTGAGCCACTTTTCGAGGTTCCTCGGGGTGAAGAGGCAAACATAGCCGGGACTCAACCCTTGGGTCCCTTTGTCAGAATACGTGAACTGTGAAACGATCGGAGTTCTTTAGAGATAAAACCTGCGACCCCTAAGCTATGGCGCGCACTAAACCACTTGAAGATGCTGGTTCGACATGCCACACATGCCAAGATACACATCTTTTGTAGGATAAGTTCATCCTCAATGTCGGACAATACCCCTACGCGCCGCTGTGTCTGTTGGCTTTGTCCCGACTCTCTAACTGGTTGATAAGCTGAACCTTGAGGCCGGAAGATGCATCCATCACTTTGGATGGCATCCAAAGAAGCCATACCATCCGGAATCAGTGTGCCGGCATTGCAAGGGCCCACAAAGCCAAAACATCCAAGAAAAGATTTCCTGGCACATTTGGCTGCGTTGATAGATTCCCGAAAGATCTGTTCGTACTTGTTCGCTTGTTTGGTGGTTCAAGTTAAATGGGACATTGAGGATACCCGAGGGTTCCCATCGCACACTCGGGGAGAACATACCTTCACTGAATGGTAACCACTTCACCCAGTGGCAACCAACTATATCCTGCTGGATCCAACACTTCCGGAAAAGGAGACTCTAGGTGCCTTGGGCAGTTAACTGCCCCCAAATGAGCGCGTGCTATTTTGAAGTTACCCATTTCAGCCTGGTGTAAAGGGAGACTAAACAGAAGCACAAACCATTCAGGTCGGTTTTCGCCCGGAACCCACCAGTTTCGGCGGCCGCATTGAGACCAAATCAAATTGGGAAGTGCCGATATTTTTAGAGGGGAACCTTCACCAACTCATTTTTGGAACCCGTGAAACCGATTTTGACCCAGCTGATCGCCTTTGAGGAGCCTGGTGGGGAGAAGCAGCTGGCCAAGGCAGGGGGCCGATCTCATTTGAGGGACCTGGGAAGAGTTGAATCCAAGCGTCCGCAGTCCTTTGCGATTTTGAACGAAGTGGCGGATGAGCAGACTCCTGAGACAAGTTCTGGGAAGCCATGGCACTTCTTTCTGCTCGCTCTTTGATACAGAAGTGCATGCAGGCTCCAGAAGGTATTCTGGTTTGTGGCCAGGCAGAGATGGAACACAGTTGCATTAAGTTTTGAACATCTAGCTCTTGTAAGGCGCGAAGGTACCAGACATCCATGTGAATATTCTGCCTGTTTTTTGTTTGAAGGGCTTGCTTGTGCTGTTGTCCCATTTGCTTCTCTCTTCTGTCTTTGAGGCTAGTTTTTGCGCGCAGAAGTCCGGTGACAACCTGCAAAGATGATCACTCCATTGGGACCTCAGTCCCATTCTGTGCCACCTTTCAAAGGTGCTTAACATGGGTGAGGTATTTCTTAGCCCGTGGGTCAGTGAGGTGTTGAAGCTCTGGTTTTGTCACCAGTGCCAATGAGTTGCAAGCTGAGTTGGGGGAGGTTTGCTTTTGCCCTTCTGAAAGTGTGCCAAAGGCAAGAGGCACTGAGAAACACTTTTTTTGGGTTGGGGGTCGTCTACAGGTGGGTGTTCCCCCAAATTAGGAAGCACCCTTTGGTTGGTGCTCAAATCAAGAATGTGAGAGGCGTAATACGTAAGCCACGGACAATGTTACAGGGACATTGCTTGTTGATGGTTGTTGATGATCGCCTTTCGTCTTTTGCTTTTTTTTGTGTTTTAATGGGGGGGGTATCTTTTTTATTTTCCCTAAGTTTCTCGTGGTATTGTTCAGCATTCACGTGGACAATGTGTCAAAACTAGGGAGCCCATCCCCCCAAAAGAAACAACACACATAATAATAAGCATAAACAAAGAACTGGTGCATTTCCCATTGGTTGTCCTTTAAACCAACCCAAACCACACCCAGCGCCCCCGCGTTGCTGGGATCAGTCCATGCGGTTCTCGCCCGGCAGATGCCTCGCCGCAAACGCCGGAAGCACCTCGCCGAGGCGCGGGCGCGACGGGCGCGAAGGGCGGGCGTGCGCCGGGGGCGGAGTTCGGTGGCCGCTCGTGGTGCGGCAAGGGACGCGCCTCTGAAGGAATTCGCAGTAGTCAGGACGGGAGTCCCACGAGCATTTTCTCAACCATGTTGACGGGAGTCCCATGTCTCAACCATGTTTGGTTGGGGTCTTCTTTTGACAGCTACTGAAATCAGAACGTGTCTTGAGAGGCAGCGCAAGTCGATGGACGGTTCTGCGGACCGCTTCCCAAGGGTCCGCTTTTTCCCAAGGCCGGAAACTGCCGGACTTCTGTTGCTTCCCGGGCAAAGGTCGAGGATTTGTATTTGAAGCACAGGAGGAGCACCAGCCAGAGACTAGAGGCGAGCTGATTGAAACAGCGCATTCTGCCTCAGGAGTTTGGAGCCGAAACTGTGGGCGACTTCCCACCTCTGACATTGCCACGACTTGGTGGGAATTCTCCAACGACGGCCTTCAGGGCCAACGCGTGCGTGCTTGGCTCTGGAATGGAAAGAAACTCTCCGCTGAACATCTCGCTCCCTGAGTTCCTGGACTTTAAGCAGTTTTTGCGAAGCTCATTTTAGTGGTAAATTCTACAGTTCAGGCTTTTCTGGCCAATCAGGAAGTGAGGCATTCCTTTGAAGGTGCTTGGAACTCAGGTGGAGGCCCCAAGAAGAGGAACACCGAAGGCCAGGGGCTGAGTCAACCAGTCGTAGCGACCCTTGTTCAGGTCACGCCGATGGCCGGAACCGTCGCACCAGATGGTAGCTGGTTTAGCAACAAGCATTCCTTCGGCTTCATCCACCTAAAATGGACGCAGCATTTTGTCCATCCACAACGTGATAGGCTCCGCGCAGATCCATTCCGCGAGCATCATGGTGGTGGGACATGTTTTTTTAGGTTTTCATTGCCAGTGATATTGACAAGAGAGAACGTAGTCGTCGGGATGGCCCAATTTGGTAGCATGGATAGGCAACTTTCCCACAAGAACGTTGGGCATCTCGGTCTGTTTGCAGCTCTCGGCTGAGAAGCTCTGGACAGGTTTGGTAGAGGCCGCTGTGGGGTTTACTCTTTGCCCAGGGAACTGGGCAAGAATTTTAAAACCTCAAGCCTGAAAGCCGAAACCTCCGAGGATCAGATGCAAACCATTCTGGCGACACCCTCCGTGCACCCGCCACGGTTTACTGAGGCGCTCAGAGCAAGGGCTGACTGAGTTTTGGTGTCAATGTTTCAGAGTCTGACCGAACAGCTTTAGCACATGCCATGCTTTAGCTGTGTTCGTTTTGACAGGCAAGAAGCAGGTTATGCTCCCTGCAGCGTATTGGCAAAAGCATTGATCTCGGGCCAAAGTGGCGCTAGCCATCCGAAGGCACGGAGGGATCTTCGGTGTAGCTTGATTCCACATGAAAGTGCACGCCTGATCCTCAGGTTCCCAGGCTTCAATACAGATCCCCTCGAAGCTTCCCCAGACCTTGAGCTGAGCTGTAGGTATCAGCCCAAGGGCAGCTTCCCCATCCGCGCCAGGCATGCATTTGCGCTCTCTGCTGCACGTCGGAGGCCTAAATCAGAAGGTGCCTGAAAGAGAGCTGGACAGGCCTGAGAATGCTCTGCCAACTTGACATGCGCAAAATTCAAGGAGGAGGGTGAGGGAGGCGGCTTGGAGGGAGGAGGAGAGGAGGGGGGAGGAGGGTGGAGAGGGTGATGAGTGTGAGACCAATCAGGGCTGAGCACAGTGGTCGACCCTCCCTGGGTGTCAGCCCTTGGGTGACCAAAAATGGTAGCGGTAAGCGAAGATCGGCTTGGTGCTCGGCTGCCCAGGTGGACTCGAGCCGGGTCTTGATCGTGCGGAAGATCAACCGCCCGGGGCCCTGCGACAAAAGCCAGGGCCAAGGTCGAGCAATGGGGCTGTGGGTTCAACAAGTAGCCCACTTGGAGCAAATGATGATGCTGCTCGGCGGCTTTACGAGGAAAGAAGTTGGCTGGCAATGAGATTTGGAGCACACTGCCTTGTTCGAGATTCACAGCGGACTCCAATGGACGTCTTCATGAAAGCCGAAAGGAATCCTCCAAGGGCTCGGCTGAGTGATGAACTTACGTTCTTGCACGGGGTTGTCTGAGTTGGGGCCTAAGGCCTAAGGGCTTACGAGCCAGCCATGCCAAGTGCCAACCTCTCAGGCGTAGAAGGTCCATCCCAATAAAAAAGCAGTTCAGCATCTCAAGGTTGCTCCGAGTCTCAAAGATGAACCTTGAAGGCTGCAAAGTCGGTCTTGCCAGGCAGCAGTCTTGCTACGATGTTGTCCCTGCCCATCGAACCCTGATCTTCGGAGGGCTTTCCTTTTCTTCCAAACAGTTTCTCCAGCGAAAACTCCGAGTTCGACGACAGGGCCCAGCACAGGGGTGGTTATTCCGCTAGTCCTGCATAACGTGGGATCCGCTATTTTGGTTTGGGTGGTTTGGTTTGGCTCGTTGTGCTTGTTGGTAAGGGTTGAATTCGGTTGCATAGTGAGGTCGCTGCTTTCCCAGGTTGGTTTGGGGTTGAGGATTGGTGTGTCTCTTTTCTATCGGGGCCCCAAAGCTTTTTGGATTGTTTTTCTTCAGGGAAGCGAAAGGGAAAACGACCCTCTTTTATTGGGAGGGGGGGGGGTTCCCCCAGTTGCCCAGTGGTGCCCTTCTTTCAACCTTTTTCCCCAACAGCTGAAAGCTTTGGGGTCTCAGCCCAGATGGGCTACGGGGTGGTCCGGGGCGGCCCTGAGGAAAGGTTCCACCAGGGTTCCACCAGGGTTGCACCAGGGTTCCACCAGGGTTCCACCAGGGTTCCACCAGGGTTCCACGGGCTGTGGGGTGGTGTGAAGACTAAAAAGAGCACCGCACGCTGTTGGGGATATCACCTGAGCTTATTTTTTTTGGGAAGGGTGCCCCTTTAAAGTCAACCAACCAAGCAAGGCCCTTTTTTCCCCATGGAAATCCACTGGGTATCTATCCAAAGCGAGATTTCCACGCAACGATGGCCAGCTATCCAAAGCGAGAGGTCTGGGCTTCTCCTCGCCCACAATCCTCAAGGAGCACTTCTCGTGGTGCCCGTTCGGTTTGGCTCTCAAAGAAACGGGGAAACCGCAGACCCAAAGCTTTGGCGGCATTGTTGCTTTGGTGGCCAGAAAAAACACCCCAAAAGGCGTTCTTCGCAGAAAAGAGATACCCACATGCGTTTTGTTTTGAAGCCACAGATTAGGAACCAACTGGCATTTGGCACAAGTTTGCCCCTTCCTTGCTCCTTTCGCGCCCTTGCTCAACGATTGTTTTCACTGGTACAGGCGTGAGCTGCGTTTTTCTTGCAGCTGCGTGCTTCTTTTTGCGTTCTGCGGTGCTCCACCACACTTGGCACCGACAGTCATTCGTTTTGATGCTGGCTACTTGCCGAAACAGACCCACACCAGAACAAACATATGTTGCCGCGCAGACATGAGGTGCCACACCAACCAAACATTCCAACCATCGAGACCTGATTCAGAGACGGGTCAGCGTGATGTTCCGGTCCCTGTTCCTTGCAGGGAATCCTTCCTATCCTGACTATCCAGTGGCAGCTATTTTCACGCTTTTGTGCTGAGCTGTCCTTCACAATCAACCACCAGAAAGCAAACACCGTCCTTTGCCTGGCCCCTAGGCTTACTCAGGGTGGAGAAATAGCATCGGATTAAAACACGTTCCTTGTTGCAGCCCTTTGTTTTGGGGGACCCTATCCTTGCATCTCCAAACTGTCGAGCAGGTATGGAACTGTTGAGAACGTGCTCGTGGCACACTCCAGGGTGAAGCCAGGGCCCAAGTACAGTCAGCGTGCAAGCACCTCTACGGGGACTCTGGTGAAAGCACTCGATTGATCATTGCTGGAACAGTATGCATTTGGCTGTGGTTGTCAGACACAGGGTAGCCGCAAAATGGGTTGCTCTGGTAAATGGAAACATGGGCTAAAACCTGCGGTTCAATTCCTGGTGCATACCCATTTGAAGCCAAGAAGTCAAACCCGTGGAAGCCCGTGTGTAGGGAGGCTAGGGGTGGATAAAAGGTTTCGTTTCCTTCGTTTGCCTCACTAGGCAAACAAACGAAAACCCTAGGAATGCTTTCACGCGCCGCTGCAAGCAGAATCCACATTCCAACACCGCCCATACTCTCGAGGCAATTTGCTATGCGCTGCCCACAGAGTCTTGGGGCCCCCTCACGAGTTTGCGCCGAACATCCACGGACAGTCTTTGTCTCACTGTATCTTTGATCTTTTGACTTTTAGTCTAAGTGTTGTCTGTTGACTTGTGGCGGGCCTCGTATGAGCGACATGGCTACAACATTCCCAACACATGCGATGCTCACATCATGTTCTGCATCTTGTGTAAAATACATCAACAGAAATATGGCAACAGCTTGGCCTGGGGATACGAAGCGATGTTTGGCCGCCTTTTTTTTTTTTTCTCGAGTGTATGCGTTAGTCAGCTTGAGCAATGCAAGACCCAACCCAGAGAAAGTCTTGCCGCTTGTGAATCTGCAGTAGGACAAGTCTTGCTTGAACGAAACACATCCAACTAAGGCCAGCATGCGCACCAGCGCCAAAATGATAGCGTTCCTTCTGTTTCCCTTCAACACCAACCAAAAGGGGTACCAACCTACAAAAAGGCCGAGATGATAGTGGCTCCCTCGGGAGAGTCAAGAACTTTGCAGGTCTTTGGAGCATGCGGAAAAAACTCCTGGGGCACACCACGCGGATAGTCCAGGGCGAACAAGTCAGGTCTGGCGGAGGTCAAGCTGGCATCGTGTCGCGACTCCGGCCGCAGGGACGCCAAGGCATTATCTTTGGTGGGAAGATCCCCTGCAAAGTGACGTGCAACCCCAAAAAGAGGTCACCCAAAGGAGATTCCTCTGAAAACGAGTGTTTTGGGGGCCCACGTTCATCCTTCGTGGAGTAAGCGTGACACATTTGCTTTTGATGTTGCTTTGTTGCAACCTGCGATCTTTGCTTGTTCGGTGCTTGGATGGTGCGCTTTGGGGTTTCTCTTCCAAAGCTTGCGGTTTGGGAGAGCTTTGTGTTCGAAAGAGAGCTGGCAGTGGTGGTCAAAACCCATGGGATCCCATTTTGGGGTTTTCGGTGCACCCATTTTGGATTTTGACCCATGGCCAGCTTTGTTAGTGACTCGAGCTTTGCCAGTAACTTAGAGACGGAGATGAGCACCTAGAAGCCAGTCCCGACAGAGCACCAAAGCCAAGGCTGCCTTTTTTCCCCGTGGCCGTGGTCTGGGATTTCTTAGCCTCTCACGTCGCCATGGAACCTGACTGGAAAAGGGTCCCTCGAAAGGGCCGTTATCCCGCCAGCACAATGATTCAAGCTTGGGGGTTTACGTCTGAACTGGGATGTGCGGGTTGATGATGGTGCTCCCCAAAATGAAGGACCCCCTTTGGATGATATTGCAATTGAACACCACCCCATGTGAGCCACAGCCTAGGAAGCCTCTGGGGGAAGGGGAAGTCATAGCTTCATGTGGCAGAGGGGCTCCGGGCCAGCAATCGCAGGTCGGGTCTGGGCTTTGTGGTCATGCCGCCCCGCCAAGTTGCAGGGAGGGCGGCTTGCGGATTCCAACTGCTTCTAGAGCCGATCTTTACGAGTGATGGTGGAAGAACAGTCGATTGGACTTTACAAATGCCAAGGTTGAAAGTTGCAAACGCCAAGGTTGGGCTTTACAAATGCCGAAGTAGGAAACCTTGGCTTGAAATCGCGCGGATCAATCTCTCAGAGCCACATATATCTCCATGGCCAAGGCTGGTTGGAAAATCGGGTCAGTTTCATACGGACACTGCCTCCTTTCAAGGGGAGAGCCTAAAAGAGTTGCTGCCAGGTAAATAGGACGGTCAACAATTATTGCTTCCAGTTGTGGGTTTCATACTATGAGCTGTTTGCTTTGGTTTCACAATCAAGGTGTCCTTTATTCTCCAGGTTTCTTGTGCCACCTGTCAACCGATACTGGCCCGATCAGCGTGTCCCCATATCTCCTTCTCTCTCTTGCCTCTCTTGCTTTCTCTCTTTTTTCTCTCTGTTCGCCTTCGTGTCTGCGGAGGTTTCCAGGGATTGAACAGGTTTCCTTTCTCTCGCTCGTTTCTGGCTCCTTCTGCCAGGAGCAAGGCAGAGGAGGCGGAGATGATCCTTACGCAAGGGAACGAGCAACAGGTGTGTGGCCCTTTGGCCTAAGGTGCGTGCCACTGTTTGGAGTTGTCAACCTTCATGCGGTTTCGCCAGCCAGATCTTTTACATGACCCTTTGCCTTCATGTTCATCAACCAGCTTTCGATTCAGGTATGCGATGTTGTCAATGCCTTGCTTGCAGTGCTTTGCATTTCAAAGCCTGTTGGGTAAAGCAGTCTGAAGGATCGGCATGATTAGGGAGCACAGGTGCCTTGACCAGGGGTTCCATCTTAGATTAGAGCCAACATTGACCAAGGGTGATCAAGGCCCCGCCGGATTGCGCGAAGTTTCTGCAACAAGATTGCGCACAGTTTGCGCAAAACGTCACACGACAACTTTTGGAAGAGACCCAAAGGAAGGGCAGGCAAGGATAGCCTGGCAGAGTTTGCCTTTGGGAAATAAGGGCACTCACGTCGAGGAAATGTCAAACCTTTCGCCCTCCTGCGCCCTTTTTTGTTCTTGTTTTTTTCTTTTTCGAAAAGCTCGACAGGCATGCGATGTGAGGAGTCCCGCAAGGGGGCTGCTCACATATTACACGTAACAACTTCAGAAAGTGCCAGGTCACAAATACCCTGTCAAGCTAGTGTGTGAAAATCACACTTTTTTGCGGCCCCAGCGGTATGTATTGAGAGCAAGACCAGCTTCCGGCCAGACATCTCCGCCTCCTGCCCGGGCCAATGTTTAGTTTAGAGGGTTTAGTTTAGGGAGAGTTTAGGGTTGGTTTAGGTCTGATTTGTTGCGCGGTTTGGTTGGGTGTCGGTCGGGCAGCCGGATGGCCGGATGGCCGGATCGCAGTAGACAGCCGTGAAACGGGACCTCGCCCTGGCTGCCGTTTCGAGCGCTGCCAAGTCCGCCCATCCGGCCATCCAGCCATCCGGGCGTCCGGCCACCCGTCCGGACGTCCGGCCATCCACCATCCGGCCATCCACCATCCGGCCATCCGATCATCTGGCCACCCACAAAATTCCTTGAGAGGGGCTGGCCCTGTGACTCGGGACTGGCAACAAGTCGCAGTCAAGTTCTGACTGGAGGCATCCCTACGGAATCATCCCCCCACCTCAGTCCGGTTTAGGGTTGGGAAGTCGATCCAATTCAAGGCGATCCCGCTCAGATTACGTGCAGATTGATACATTTGTACATGCCATGGGCCTACAAAGAGTGCAGTAAGCCTTCCTTGAGCCTCGTAAAGGGTTTTTCTTGCATCCCCACAACAGAAGGCCAGCATGATCTCACAGAAAGACACTGCCTCAGGAGTCTACCCTGGTTTGGGGAATCGTTGCCGTCCCAGGCACCGTTATCCGTGTGCAGAAGTTTGAACGTCGCATGAGCGAGTCGCTGGACGCTGGCTTGGAGGCGCGCACGACCGCCGCCAGATTCCATGCGGCTGGGGGGGGGGGGGGGGGGGAAAAACACGTGTTTGATGAGAGATGTTTCTACTGAGACACCGGGCGACGGTTATTTGCCGAGAGACATTCTTACACTTCACTACCTGGAGACTAACGAGCAGCTCTCCACGCCCCTAGATCCTTGTGGCAAGTGTTGCATGGAATATTTTTTCCTAAGAAACTTATGTGTAAGAAACGCTTCGGTGAACCTTCAAATCAAATCGATTTGAGCTCTGCTCAAGTTTGGTACTCTGCTCAAGTACTGAAATGTGGCGGTGAGGATTGTTTGAGTGGCTGATAGAAAGTGGCAAGTCGCTGTGAGAGCAGCACACCGGAGCCGTTTTCGAATTTATCAAGATTTGTGCACAGGAGTGGCCATCCACTGCGACTGCGACAGATGGGGACGCCACGGTGTTCCTACTTTTCACTTTTTGGCAACCCCAAAGAGGGCGTAGAAACACGGGGCCTTCATGTACTAGGGGAAGCCAGGTATGGCCCAGTTGCCGAGTTGCTGCCATGTCAACCATGGTGGACCCTACAAATAGCTGGGATAAGCCACGTACAAAAGGTGTGCTTACTATTCAGATTCATTGCCCGAAACCAAACTCGTGACAGGACCAGCTGGACACCAAGGACCGTGGCCAGCGAACGTTGAGGGTGGGTGCTTGGATGTAGAGGCTGAATATTCACTAGCATCAGTTGCCCATGCATGGTTATGACTCAAACTTTATGGTACTCCCAACCCCTCATTCCGATTATTTAGCCCCTTGCAGGTGTGCTGAATGTGGTGTGTGCCTTTTGCGTTTGTTGTTTGCGCACAAGCGCCCCGACGCTGCTCGCTATCATGTCGTCAAGTGACGTGAAAGCCCAAGTTGGTGTCAAGGCAGCTCGCTCGATTTCAGCGTGAGGAGCAAGAGGAGTTCTCCAAAGAGTGCCGCGCGATGGGGGCGTCTCGCCGGCCTCTTTGCGACGCAACTCGCTGGCCTAAAAAGGCCTAGGGATGTGTCTCCGGCAATTGGGGACCTTGAAGAAACGGATTGTTCATATCGGGGGCACCGTTGAACGGAGAATTTTGTGATGCCTGAAGTATGGATTATGGCGATGATCTCGTGGCAGGTGATCTTTGGAGCGGCAGCCTAAGTTGAAGCAAGACGCCTCAAGTCGTCGACCCTCGCGGCACGCATGTTCAGAGACGTTTCAAGGGTCCACCATGCAATGCACAAAAAGGCAGCCCTACAGGATTGGAGTTGGTTCATGCTTTCTTGAGCTGTTGCTCCTGTTTCTATGCGGCAATTGGACAGAGGCTTCTAAGAAGTGATGTTCTGTTTGGCTGGCTTTGAGCTGCTGCGAGCGAGCCGCAGGTGGCAAGTTGAGCACCTGGACCCTTGTGCCGGTTGCTTCACAATGCAGGACAGTTTCAAGTACAGTGTGGCTCATACATCACCTACGCTCAAGACGGGTGCTTTGTCTATCCACAACCCCAGCCGCTTGCTCTTTTTGCGGTGCTCTTTCATTCACAAGTGGCACAGTAGAAACTTTAACAGGATCTTTCCAAGTTGGGTACCTTCCAAGAACCCAATCCTGAGGGCACCGGGTACAAACGCAGCAGCCAAGTCAGTCGCTCGTATGAAGCATCGTAGGGATGCGCAGCCGGTTTCTTTGGGCCAGGCACGTTCCGCGTTGACCGAATTCGGTCACTGAGAGAAGGCGGCTGATTGGCTTGCTTTTTTTTTCTCCAGTCCTTTGCATTTTCCAGCAGCACAATTTGCAGACTCTTCTAGCAGCACCAGCCTTCCAGGAATTCTTCCGATTGATCTATTTTCGTCGTTGGCGTTGCCAACGAGGCTACTAACATTCGTGACACCTGAGTGGTCAAAATTCAACCAGGATACAGACCGCAGGTTTTAGTCCTTCCCATTTACCAGGTCAACTCATTTTGGGGTTACCCTATTTTTCATAACCGCACCCACCTGCCTTCAATGAATCCTGCCGAATGCTATTTTGTGTGGTCAGATTTAACAACAGGGCTATTAAATTAACAGGGCAATTAAATTCTGTGGCTTTTGTGGAAAAAACAGAGGTGGAACTTTGGTCCTTTCCACAGATTTGATCCAGTCGGAGCGCAGACGTCTCGTTCGGACCTAGGTGTGGCCACGGGCGCTGTGCAGCGTTGGGACCCCAAAAGCCGGCGAAGCCGACGAGCTGGATCGGGGGTTTGGAGTTGCCTGGGTTTCTTCTTCTTTTTCTTCTTCTTTTTCTTCTTCTTTTTCTTCTTCTTTTTCTTCTTCTTTGTCTTCCTTCTTTTTCTTATTTTTCTTCTTCTTTGTCTTCCTTCTTTTTCTTATTTTTCTTCTTCTTTTTCTTCTTCTTTGTCTTCCTTCTTTTTCTTATGTTTCTTCTTATGTTTCTTCTTTTTCTTCTTCTTTTTCTTCTTCTTTTTCTTTTTTTTCTTCTTATTTTTCTTCTTTTTCTTCTTCTTTTCATTCCTTCTGTTTCTTCTTTTTCTTCTTCTTTTTCTTCTTTTTCTTCTTCTTTTTCTTCTTCTTTTTCTTCCTTCTTCTTCCTTCTTCTTCCTTCTTCTTTTTTCTTCTTTTTCTTCTTCTTTTTCTTCCTTCTTCTTCCTTCTTCTTCCTTCTTCTTCCTTCTTCTTCCTTCTTCTTCCTTCTTCTTCCTTCTTCTTACTGCTTCTTCCTTCTTCTTCCTTCTTCTTCTTTTTCTTCTTCTTTTTCTTCCTTCTTTTTCTTCTTTGTCTTCTTCTTTTTATTATTTTTCTTCTTCTTTTTCTTCCTTCTTTGTCTTCCTTCTTTGTCTTCTTCTTTATATTCTTTTTCTTCTTCTTTTTCTTCTTCTTTTTCTTCTTCTTTTTCTTCTTCTTTTTCTTCTTCTTTTTCTTCTTCTTTTTCTTCTTGTTCTTCTTCTTTTTCTTCTTCTTTTTCTTCCTTCTTCTTCCTTCTTCTTTTTGTTCTTTTTCTTCTTTTTCTTCCTTCTTCTTCCTTCTTCTTCCTTCTTCTTCCTTCTTCTTCCTTCTTCTTCCTTCTTCTTCCTTCTTCTTACTTCTTCCTTCTTCTTCCTTCTTCTTCCTTCTTCTTCCTTCTTCTTCCTTCTTCTTACTTCTTGTTCCTTCTTCTTCTTCTTCTTTTTTTTCCTTTTTTGTTCTTCTTCTTTTTCTTATTGTTTTTCTTCTTCCTTCTCCTTCTTTTGCTTCCTTCTTTTTCTTCCTTCTTTTTCTTCCTTCTTTTTCTTCCTTTTTTTTCTTCCTTCTTTTTCTTCCTTCTTTTCTTCCTTCTTTTTCTTCCTTCTTTTTATTCCTTCTTTTTCTTCCTTCTTCTTAATTTGTCTTCCTTCTTCTTCCTTCTTCTTACTTCTTCTTCCTTCTTCTTCCTTCTTCTTTTTCTTCTTATTGTTCTTCTTATGGTTCTTCTTCTTTTTCTTCTTATTTTTCTTCTTCTTTTTCTTCTTCTTTTTCTTCCTTCTTCTTCCTTCTTCTTCCTTCTTCTTACTTTTTCTTCCTTCTTCTTCCTTCTTCTTACTTTTTCTTCCTTCTTCTTCCTTCTTCTTCTTTTTCTTCTTGTTCTTCTTATTTGTCTTCTTCTTTTTCTCCTTCCTTCTCCTTCTTGTTCTTCCTTCTTTTTCTTCCTTCTTTTTCTTCCTTCTTTTTCTTCCTTCTTTTTCTTCCTTCTTTTTCTTCCTTCTTCTTAATTTTTCTTCCTTCTTCTTACTTCTTCCTTCTTCTTCTTCCTTCTTCTTCTTTTTCTTCCTTCTTTTTCTTCTTTTTCTTCTTCTTTTTCTTCTTATTTTTCTCATTATTTTTCTTCTGTTTCTCCTTCTTTTTCTTCTTCTTTTTCTTCCTTATGTTTCGTCTTTTTCTTCTTCTGTTTCTTCTTTTTCTTCCTTCTTTTCTTCCTTCTTTTTCTTCCTTCTTTTTCTTCCTTCTTTTTCTTCCTTCTTCTTCTTCCTTCTTCCTTCTTGTTCCTTTTTTTTCCTTTTTTGTCTTCCTTCTTTTTCTTCTTTTTCTTCTTTTTCTTCTTCCTTCTTCTTCCTTCTTCTTCCTTCTTCTTCCTTTTTCTTCCTTGTTTTTCTTCCTTCTTTTTCTTCCTTCTTTTTCTTCCTTCTTTTTCTTCCTTCTTTTCTTCCTTCTTTTTCTTCCTTCTTTTTCTTCCTTCTTTTTCTTCCTTCTTCTTAATTGTTCTTCCTCCTTCTTCCTTCTTCTTACTTCTTCTTCCTTCTTCTTCCTTCTTCTTCTTGTTCCTTTTTTTTCCTTTTTTGTCTTCCTTCTTTTTCTTCTTTTTCTTCTTTTTCTTCTTCCTTCTTCTTCCTTCTTCTTCCTTCTTCTTCCTTTTTCTTCCTTGTTTTTCTTCCTTCTTTTTCTTCCTTCTTTTTCTTCCTTCTTTTTCTTCCTTCTTTTCTTCCTTCTTTTTCTTCCTTCTTTTTCTTCCTTCTTTTTCTTCCTTCTTCTTAATTGTTCTTCCTCCTTCTTCCTTCTTCTTACTTCTTCTTCCTTCTTCTTCCTTCTTCTTCTTGTTCCTTTTTTTTTCCTTTTTTGTCTTCCTTCTTTTTCTTCTTTTTCTTCTTTTTCTTCTTCTTCTTCCTTCTTCTTCCTTCTTCTTCCTTCTTCTTCCTTCTTCTTCCTTCTTCTTCCTTCTTCTTACTTCTTCTTACTTCTTCTTCCTTCTTCTTCCTTCTTCTTCTTTTTCTTCTTGTTCTTCTTATTTTTCTTCTTCTTTTTCTTCTTCCTTCTTTTTCTTCCTTCTTTTTCTTCCTTCTTTCTCTTCCTTCTTTTCTTCCTTCTTTTTCTACCTCATTTTTCTTCCTTATATGTTTCTTCCTTCTTCTTCCTTCTTCTTACTTCTTCTTCCTTCTTCTTCTTGTTCTTCTTCTTTTTCTTCTGTTTTTTCTTCCTTCTTCTTACTTATTCCTTCTTCTTCCTTCTTCTTCCTTCTTCCTTCTTCTTCCTTCTTCTTCCTTCTTCTTCCTTTTCTTCTTATTGTTCTTATTTTTCTTCTTCTTCTTCTTCTTATGTTTCTTCTTCTTTTTCTTCTTATTGTTCTTCGTATTGTTCTTCTTATTTTTCTTCTTTTTCTTCTTATTTTTCTTCTTTTTCTTCTTCTGTTTCTTCCTTCTTCTTCCTTCTTCCTTCTTCTTCCTTCTTCTTCCTTCTTCTTACTTCTTCTTCCTTCTTCTTCCTTCTTTTTGTTTTTCTTCTTGTTCTTCTTATTTTCTTCTTCTTTTTCTTCTTCCTTCTTACTTCTTCTTCCTTCTTCTTCCTTCTTCTTCTTGTTCTTCTTCTTTTTATTCTTCTTTTTCTTACTTATTTTTCTTCTTTTTCTTCTTTTTCTTCTTTTTCTTCTTCTTTTTCTTCCTTCTTCTTCCTTCTTCTTCCTTCTTCTTCCTTCTTCTTCCTTCTTCTTCCTTCTTCTTCCTTCTTCTTCCTTCTTCTTCCTTCTTCTTCTTGCTTTTTTCTTTTTCTTCTTGTTCTTCTTATTTGTCTTCTTCTTTTTCTTCTTCCTTCTCCTTCTTTTTCTTCCTTCTTTTTGTTCCTTCTTTTTCTTCCTTCTTTTTCTGCCTTCTTTTCTTCCTTTTTTTTTCTTCCTTATATTTCTTCCTTCTTTTTCTTCCTTCTTCTTAATTTTTCTTCCTTCTTCCTTCTTCTTACTTCTTCTTCCTTCTTCTTCCTTCTTCTTCTTGTTCTTCTTCTTTTTCTTCTGCTTTTTCTTCCTTCTTCTTACTTCTTCCTTCTTCTTCCTTCTTCTTCCTTCTTCTTCCTTCTTCTTCCTTCTTCTTCCTTCTTCTTCCTTCTTCTTCCTTCTTCTTCCTTCTTCTTCCTTCTTCTTCCTTCTTCTTCCTTCTTCTTATTCTTCCTTCTTCTTCCTTCTTCTTCCTTCTTCTTCCTTCTTCCTTCCTTCTTCCTTCTTCTTCCTTCTTCTTCCTTCTTCTTCCTTCTTCTTCCTTCTTCTTCCTTCTTCTTCCTTCTTCTTCCTTCTTCTTCCTTCTTCTTCTTCTTCTTCTTCTTCTTCTTCTGTTTTTCCTTTTTCTTTGAGAGGGGGGGTGAATGGTGATCAACCCTCGGCTGAGGGTAGTTATGATCCTTTGTGAAGCAGCTTGATGGCAACATAATCGTAAGATTCCCGCTTCTGGGGGAGCGGTGACGATTTGATTTCCGATTTTGAGGGAGAAAAACATACAGTGCAGTCTACACCTAAAACTGACCGGGGTCGTTGCCCTAAACCTTCTGATCCAAAGAGGGGCTCAGCAAATTGAGCAGCAGGGGTTACACGGACTTTTGCGAGGTACTTTGACCCCTTTTACCTCGTCAACATCCTGGGTCCTCTGTTTGTTTGGAGATCGGTTGCACCTTTTTGCGGTTGTTTGCAGGGAAGAAGCCAAAGGCAAACCACGAGTTGTGGTGTCCCCCGCAAAATGGCGTGCAGAGATGCTTGGGTTCGTCATTTTTTGTTGTGTGTAGTTGCTTCAAGAGACGGGAGGTGGGACCTTGGCGAAGCATACCCAAGAATACCCCCGACAGACCCTTGTAGCACCATCGCCAGGACACCGCCTGGGACACAAGAGGGACACCACTGGCACATTGAGACGCCACCAAAGCAGCTCGACAAGGGACTTTTCCATCAAGCCTCCTGCCACCACACTGCCTTGCGCCTTGCATAGCAGGGACGAATGCGCAGGCAATTCTACGCCAAGATATACCGCAGTATTTTCTGGCAACAAAGCAGCAGCATACCTCAGAAGCCTCTGTCTAAAACAGCAGCAGCTGATGCCAGGTGTAGCTGGTTCTGGCGCAAACAGCGTTCCATCTAAGGTTGCCGCCGCGTGTCGCAAGCCAAAGTCTTGCCCGCGACGTGTTGTTTGCCTCTAAATATGAATATTGTCTGGCAAGATTTGCAAAGTGGCTGAGGTGACGCCACGATCGCTGGGCCGGCGGGATGCGCGCAATAGCGAAAGCGTCAATCGTGCGCAAGGAAGGCCAAGCAAAGCACGTTCTGTTGCCGGGTATGCTGCTGGATGAGCCAAGTTGGACGAAACGCCGCTGGGCGCTGTTACTGTGCGCTTGCGCGCAATATATATATATATACACACACATACATACATAGTGTCCGGGACGCCCGGCGGGCCCTGTTTTTTCAGTGTTGTGTAGTTTTTGTTTGCGTTTTTCGGTTCGCAGAGCCAACCTTGACCATGCCATCATAGCGTCCCTTTCCGCATTAATATATAAGGATTGCACAGGTTGTGTCGCAGGGCACAGACGTGTCCTGTGCGATGTTGCTTTCTCTTGGCATACGCACGGACACGTGTCCTGTTTTTGTTCCCTCTCAGCGGCAAGAATTGGTCAAGCGTCACCTTGCGCGAGGAATCGGCTCCTGCTCAGGCGGCCGGCCACGTAGCAACGCAGAATGGAGAGGCGACTGCCTTGGGATCAGGGTTCAGTTTGCTGCACGAGCACTTGGAGCCACATCGAGCTGTGTTTACTGGTTACTGGCGTATGTGTGGGACAGCCTTGCAGCCTGTAACCAATTTACTGCTAACACTGTCCTCGCAAGGGAACCACAAGCGAGCTTTGCCCAAGCATAGTTTTCAAAACGGTGAACCCAACAGCTTGTTCGGCTAGTTCAAATAAGGGAACATGATCTCCTTTGTGGTAGGGGTGTGGCTGGAACATGTCTCCTATCTTTTTGCCTATGCGACTTGAGCATCAGGTTTCGCATCAAAACCTGAGAGGCTGCCTAGATTCCAACTGCCTAGATCCACGTCTCCCTTCATCAAGCGTCTTCTCAGAGCCTTTGGCTGGTTTCTGACGTTTAGCCAGCTTTGGCCAAGCTTTTTTACTTCCGTTTGCTGGTGCTGATCGCTAGAGCTTGACTCTGGGCATGAGAGAATTCAGCCACTTCGACCGAAGAGGGGCTGCGAAGATTTGGCATATCTGGACGGGAGCCTCACAATGATATTGCTCCCTTGACTTGACCAATCTAAATTGTCCTCGCCCCAAGATTCCTTTGCTCAAGTGATTGCATCAGCATGCCGGTCCGGCTATACTGCAACTTCTCCAGGTTGTGATGCTTTCCTGCTTCTCAGCATGCTTGTGCCTGGTTATCAAGGCACATCTGCAGTTGCGTTTTCGAGCAGCATGATTCGCTGGCCACAGGGTTTGCTTTTAGATTCCCAGCGATTCTTTTGGACGATAGATTCCATAGATCACGATTGTATCTTTGTTGATTGGTCGGTAGGCCAAGCTTTTTGCTGGCTGGGCTTCCCGAGCAGGAAGTGGCGCACGGCTTCTCTCCTGCTCAAGGCACAGCAGAAAATAAATCGGGGGAGGGAAGTGGATGGGTGGTTTGGACACGTCGAAAGCTGACATGGGGGGAGGAAGCCCCAACATTTGGTGTCTCAGTTGTTTCCCTTTCATGCAGCCCCAAAAAAGCACCCTCAAAGGCAAACACGCCTAGATTGTGGGCTGGCGGCGAACTCCAACAATTGCATTTCATGGATGGTTTACTCGACGGCAGACCCTGGGTTTGAGTAAGGACAATATGTGGAACCGAGTGAAATGACCCTCATTGATCGAGTACCCTTTTGGCTATCAAGTGCTTCCTGCCTGAGGGAGCAGGCGACGCCAACCAAGCACAATCATCATTGGCAGACATGCATATGGACCCTATCCAATGTGTGTTTGCCCACATTTGTTTGGACCAGAATTGCGGGGAGATTGAATTGTCCCAACTCGCCTTTCGCCAGGAGTTACACAGCTCCGAACCATTGCGAGGGCTATATGCTCCCGTGCATGCCAATTTTCCAACTGATCTCTACAATTCCCCAGCTGCCTTTCCAAGCCTTCCGGGGGAATATTTCTGCAGAACTCCTCAGATATTCCCGTGAAGGGCTTGGGACTTGGCGCGGGGGCGTGCGTCGCTTCGGCCTGAAGCGCACGCGTCTTTTTAACAACCTCGGACCAGAGGAACGAAGACAGACCAGCCTCGATACGGCGAACGGATGAGCACAGAAGGCAGAAGTCGTCTTGCCAGGCACCAGAGAAGTCAACTGTGTTGCAGGAAGAAGGCATTCCCTAGGTGCGCGAAAGGAGGGTATCTACAGCCTGTTTGCTGGATGGGCTCACCAGAAACTTGAGCAGATGTTCTCTGGAGCATTTTGCTTCCAAGCGATCAAATCAACAACAACTGTCTGATACTTTTAACAGGCGGTCTTGCACACAAGATGCCGTTCTTGCTCTTGCCAAGAGATGACTTGGACACTTTTCTGCGCTTCCAGCTCACCGCATTGCCCGGCAACGGGGCCTTTGTCCGCTGAGCAACTTTTTTATTGCTCCAAAGCAGTTCGCACGGACAGCTTTGGAGTTTCGGCTCACGGGGTGGTCACGCAGCAAACACATCAGCTGGCTTATCTTGGCCCAAGGAATGATGCAGTAGGACTGTAGAACTAGCACGAGCTTGCGGCCAGCACCATGGCGACGTGATGTTGCTTGCAGAGAATAGGATCCCAAGATTCACAGGCGCTGATTGTTGCCACCAAGGAATTTCCAGCAATTGTGCCAGTGCAATCGACTTGTGTGTGTTGGCAGATCCTGTGTAACTGCTAGAAGAGAGACACATCAAGCAGCGCCCTCAGTTTATGGTTCGCGAAAAGCGATCACTTCGTTGTGGCCTGCTTTTTGTCCGGGAATTCGTGGTATCCTACACCTTTGCCTTGATTAGCATGATGTATTTGGTACTGGAATCGTCAACCCACTGGTGTTCCGGCAGGCACAGTCTGCCGTGGTAGTGATCGCTCCCCCGAGCTTTTCAAGGTGGGAAAAGGCAGCGCGGTCGGAATGGATGGAGGGCGCCAACTGTATCTCAGTTGCTGCCAATCGGGCCCCGGCCGATTCGCCCGAAATCGTCGTTCGTGACCTTGCGCCGGTCCTTCGTCAATAAGTCAAGGCCTGCACTGCTTGCTCATTGCTCCCAAGTGGATTGGCAACGGGCCAGGATTGAGCGGGAGCAACAACTCTCATCAAGAGGCTTCGGATGGGGTTTTTAGCTTGTTTTGGAACTGCCCAAAACGGGTCTTTGATTTGACAGATTCCCAAATTCCCGCGGCTCTTGCAGGGTTTATGGGCTATCGGCAAAAGGCCATGCCTTTTTGTGGCCAGATTGGATTCGCTGTTGATTTCTTGTGGTTGGGAAGAACACTCCAGCTTTCGCTCCCTCCTATCAGGGCAAAAACAAACATGCCCCTAGGGCACTTGGACGTATATAGGCGATTTGCTGTTTTGGAAACTTACACTTCTATGTGGCTGGAAGGTTCAGGGAGGCAGGCCGTGTGTCGAAAGTCCTGGAGGAGTCACAATCGTTTCGGCTCCGCAACGAGTGATTGTGGCGTTTGCGTTTGACCAGCATCTTTGGTCAGCAGCTGCTCCGGGCAAAAATCCTGGCCCGGGCGAGGAAATCGCTGGACACTAAACTGGCCTCTGGGTCTTGGTATTGAGCCGCGTGCTTCGGGCCTGGTGGGCCGGTCTAGCCCCAGAATTTGTCCGAACTTCGTGGAAGATCGGCCCGCCGGGCCGCTGCTGAGAGCACACGGGAGCCTTCACAGCTGGACCAGACGGACTCCAAGTGGAAGCTGAGGAAGCGGTCAGCACTCAGGTGCCAGAGGCTCATGGTCGAAATGGGCATGCCCTTCGGAAGTCGCTTGCTTCCCATGGTGAACATCTCATCTTGCACCCATTCCTAGGCTGGCTCCTTTGTACCAGAAACATTCCACGAAGAAACACGTATTCGATTCACTTGCACCGTTCCACTTCCACCCCTCTCCCCTTCAAGTAACGTTGCAATTCCCAAACGGGGTGTGCGGGGCTTCCCTATTATTTATACAGGCCTTCCCGGGGCGTTCCCTATTAATGGAAAGCTTCAGAGCGCCGATTGTGCAAATGACTCCGGGCCCGGATGCCCCAGTGCCTCGGGGCTTCGCTGGGGGACATGCGCAGTAGATTCCAGTCTCGGCTGACGTTCCAGGCTGCATGTCAAAGCTAGGTCAGACGGGCATGGGTGATTTCCAACGAAGTTCTCCAAGGAGTTTTGGGATGGGCCAACTCAGTCCGTTTCCGTGGTCTTTCTTGGCTCCGTGGTCTTTCTGTAAGCTGCCATATGGAGGCAGAGCCTGAGCACACGGAAACCGTGTGAGCCGCGGCAGCGGAGACCAGCCGAGCGCAACGCGGCTCGGCAATCCGCCGATGGGATGTGCCGACACAAACACCGACTCAATACAAGGCCTAAATGATCAGAATGGGCTTCCGTACTTTAAGACATGTTAAAACGCTAATTACATCAATGGCCAGCCTGCCATTGGCGGTTGATACAGCTCACGGAGCGCGATTTTATCTTCTGGATATTCCGATGCCATGGAGCAATCGAAGGCTTGAAGCATCTTGAAGCCATGTAAATGTAGGCGCATCCGAGGCCAAGGAAGATCGCAGCTATCCGTTTGATTGAGTAATTCACATCCACTGGTGCATCACCAATGGTAGGTGTAGGCAGGACTGAAATTTAAACAGTTGTGGTTTTACTTGGGTCTGAAATCTAAATGGGGGGCACCTTTTGGACATCTACATCTGGATTTCTTGCAACCACCTTTTGCATGGTTGCAGGTTCCTCACTGAAACAAGTCATTGCCTTGGAGATATATGTGCGTCGTAAGGCATTGGTCTCTGCCTCCAGACCTCTGGCAGTGTGGCTTCTGTGTGCCTCTCTTGACAGCATGCGAATCGAGCTGGGAGTTGTTGCAGGGTCTTAGCTGGTCTTCGTCTAGATGTTCGCACCTTCAGGGGAGTAGGGGAGGTACATGTCCACAGATCCCGCTGTTGCACTGTACAATGTAGGATATATGTGAATACTAAATACTTTAATTGTTCTCCCTTGGTTGGAACAGGGATACTCAAGTACAATGGGCGGGGTGCCGCACATGTTTTTTTCGGTGGTCGTTGCTGTCAAGAGCTTGTGCAAAGCTTGTTCCAGCTTCGTGTCACCCGCTCAGTCGAACAGATCTCGTCAGTTTGAAGCGCGGGCAGGGGTGGCGCGGCAAACTCGCTTCGGCTCGGTCCGTTGTTCTGCTCATTGCAAGGCGAGTGCCGCGCTGCTGGCCCTTGTTTGGCATTTCCCAAAAAAATGTCCGCCCGCGGGGTAACCACGAAGCTTCGCCTCGTCGTTGAGGCATTGTAAGGCTCGATACCGGGAAGCTGCAGGTCTGCTGTCTGTGTGCCAGGAGATGGAAAGGCCCTCGATTTTGGATGGTTCAGGATGCTTCAAGGAAATCCATGTTTTTCGGCGTCAAGAATGGCTTCACGCCAATTGAAAGATGTTTGCTTCTGAGAGTTAAAGCCTTTGTGAGCTCGGCAAAACTGGGCCACAAGTCCTTTGACACAGAGTGTTGACACATCTTTCATTTGCTCAAGAGGATATTTGTTATTTGCGGCATGTTGGTTTTACGCTTCTGAAACTATATATATTTTTTTTTCTCCCAGGGACACATTTTTGCGCTATCAGAGGCCTATGCTCGGCAGCGAAGGTTTTGTTCCATTTGTGATATGCGAGATGCCCCCCAAGCCGGCATACCAAGCCTTGAAGTGTTCGCAGGCCGGGCGAAATGAAAAGCCAGTTTTTAGGCAGGGCTCCTTGATTGTTTTTCATTTTGCCCATTTGGATGGCTTTTGCTGCCAAAATAAAGGGAAACCACCATTTACAAGGCAATGTTCAGGTGTATAATGTAAGGATCCCTGTTAGGATGAGGGTCCACTGGGGCTGGCAATGTCTAGATAAAAGATTTGCTCGGCGAAAGGATCGAAAGGGGCCCTTCCCCATCCCAGGCGCAGGCAGGAGCAGCTACTGTAGATAACTTGGCTGCCTATTGGGATCGCTGGCGTGTCTCTGCGTGGAGGCCGTTAAAGGGGCCGCGGCACGGAGTGCCAGAACAGGTTGTGCGCAACGACAGAAGCGCAAGGCTGAAACAGAGATGTAAAGTCGGGCCTACAGTCCCTTCATGGACAGCGGAGTTGTCTTGGTGGTCACTAGTAGTGCAATCTTAAGTTGGCAAACACCGTGATGATCAGCAGCAAGAATGAGCACGCTGGGTCCTCAAGGGTTCGGTTCGGTTCATGTGGGGCACAGCCACCTGTTGCCTGTGCGCACCGTGTCCATGTCCCCCTTCACCCGCCAGCGCCGAGGTTTGGGCTGAAGATTTCTGAGATTGCTCATGGTGAACATGTTTATGGCTATTTGTTTGGATCTGTGGACTGTAGCTTCAGTGGATTTCCCATACCCACGAAAAGCTAAACTTTTTTGCAGTGGGGTCACCAGCAAGACATGAACAATGAAACGCCATGCCTAAAAAGGCCCAGGCGTCAGGTTGGAAGGAGATAGGGCTCCGTCTGGTTCAACAACTTGCCGATATGCTCGGAATCGGAACTTTGGATTTTGGAAGTGTGCTATAGTATAACTTCCTTCGATGTTGCCTTTGGTCTCAGCAGTTCTGTGCCGGTCTCAGCAGTTGCCGGAGGGCTCTGGCAAGTTCTGGCAGCCGTCGGAACATCACGAAAAGTGTTTTTTGCTTAAGCCAATCACAACTGTGAAGTTCGGCCGTTCTGGGCCAGAAGTGGTTCCAGGGTATTAGATCCTGGAAAGTGCTTGTTTTGTTTGGCTCGCTTGAAAGAGGCAGGTGTTCTTTTGCCGGGGCCAGTGGTTTCAGCCCAGATCTTGGCAACGTCGCAGCAGTCCAGGCAAACTTTATTCTGCTCAGCGTGACAAGAATAATCGATACACATGAAGCACATGGCTTTAGGTTCAACTTTTTACGGGACGTGGAGCGAGCCAATGCAAATTAGGGAGTTGCAGAGGTCATGATAGGCATTTGTAAGTCTTGACTAGAAGTAACAACACAAAGCATTCAAGAACGTCCCCCACACTTGTAGAGGCGACGTTCTCTGCTTAGTAGAGTCATCCGGATTCATCCCAAGCTGGCATCCCACGAATCCCTGTCAAGTCTGCAAGATGATTTGCTTGTAGACTTTTCAGCAAACTCGAAAAAGCAACTGCAAACCCTACGTGGCTCGCTCCAAGCAGTCCCACTGTATGTTCCGCCGGCAGGCCTACTTCTGCTCAACAGGAGGTCCTGAGAATGCCCCATCATTGTTGCACCATGCCAAAAAGGGCTTCTTTTCTCGTCACTTCCCCTGCGCAAAACTCGGGGGACTCGGGGACATAAACATTTTACAGTGTTTCTTTTTGCTCAAGGTCGCGATGCGATGTGGCTGCAGGTTTCCGACCAGTTCACTGAGACATGGTAAATCCGGCTGTCAAGCTGGCCGGACTAGTGCTAGCTGCTAGCTTGTGAGAAAACCTCACTCCGTTGACATCACTCAACATAGCATGAGGCTGAGGTAAGATGGATCTTTGGTTGCGGGAGGCCTTCGTCAGGCAGAAGGGCAGAAGTGGCCCTGCTGATGTCAAGCGCCAGGCTCGAGCACACCCGCTGGTTGGACATGGGTCGGACAGTCAGACATTGAAACATCTGAGATGCATCCTGAGAGAAACCAATGGACAGCACTGGCCATTTGACATTTCCTTCGGCATGGCCAGAATCTGGCCTGTCAAAGTCTTTCAGCCTCTTTGTTCCGTGTCATGCTTCCCTTGTCTGACTCATGCATCGTTCAAAGCGTCCATGTCTGCGTAAGACAATTCAACTTTTCTATTTGACGATGTTACATCTTGCAACCAGGAGAATCACCTTCTGCATTCCCAGCCTTTTCGTGCTTTGCGGTTCGGGACAGGAGTATTGGAAGAATATCCTATTTGATCAAGAAAACCAAGGCCTGCCCTTGCCAGTGTCCACCCAGCTGGTGCTGTCAACGTTAGCTGTTCAGGCTTCATCTTGACAAGGAATGCAAAATTATCTAAGATCTTTGGAGAGGCGCCGAGGCATACAAAGCTCCACGGAGATGAGTCACTCAGGCTGTGAGTTGCAGACGAAGCTTTTTGTCTTCCCCAAAGCTGTATGAGCCAGTGCCAGCTGATGCTCCGCACTGCTTGTGGATTGCTAATTGCCATCAAAGCGAACAAGCTTGTTTTTGGTTTGGCCATGCTGATGCTTAGGACGGCTTTTTGCAAGTTCAACATGTACAAGGCTACCCTGTTTCCAGCAGTGGACAGGGGCCTTGCGAACATGATGGCAGTCTTCCAAACACCACCTGCACTTTTCCGTTTGCCAACCTGGCATTGCGAACCTATTTCTAGCGGGCAATCTGCGAACTCAATGGGTTGTTTGCGTGCAGATCAATTGCAATATGCGTGCAAGTTGTTGTTCAAGGCTCGCATCTTCCTGCTTTTTTTTTGACTGGCAAGGGCTCCTCCACCATGCGATTTGGGCAAATGATAACGGCGTCACTTGGGGGTTTGGTCATGTCACGCATGATGACAGTTTCTCCCTTCTTTTCAGTTGGTGAGTCGTGCCAATTTGCCCATGCGATATGCATTTGAGAATCTTTCTTCACAGCCTGTGCGCGTGGAGCTTGCTGTGCTTTTTGCGCAGCGTTTGGCCGCGGGCGATCGACTGAGGGGATGTGAGCCTGTCTCAAATCCGTACCTTGGGATATGCAGACTTTTAGCGCCCAAACCCCCAGCTCAGAGTCGTCGCAGGCTTCACTAAGATGGGCTGCTCCTGGAATGAAAACCACATGCCCGCGCGGGCGAAAATTCCTTGTGCTTCAAAACCTCCGAAGAGGGGCTCCCTGAAGAATCTACGCACCCAATCCGCAAAACTGTTTGGAAGCCTGCTGCACACCGTCCAATTGCCTTTTGCACTGATTCCCCGCGGTTTGCAAGTAAGGCAATCAAAGGATTTCCAAACAGGAGCCCTCCGAATCAATAACACCTTGTCAAAGGGGATCGGACAACTCTTCAACGGGTCGAGCCTTGAATGACATTCTGTTGCGCATTGATCTTGCGTCCCCCCTTCGAATATGATTCAACTGCGCCATCATTGTTTTGGGCATGGCTTCTGACCAGACAAGTTGTTCAATCACCACGATTCTGAAGAGATGGGAGTTGTCCAACATAGGCTTGGTTCCAAACGTCTTCCCAAGTTTGGGATGTACAGATTGAATACGGATGCACTGGAAGCAAGGAACCCCCGACGAGTCGCCGCCCGCGTCCCTTCGTCGCCCCCTTCCCACACGCACTGAAAGAAACACCAGACCGAACAAGGAAGATATCGCTGCGTAGTTAGCATCGAACAGTTCGGCCTCGGACCTTTCCTGGTGCTTCTTCTGGCGCTTCCGTCGACCACGGGTGAGGCTCATGCCCACAGTTGGCGAGGCATGTTGTCCAAGTAGGCTGTGCCTGAGGCAGGGCGGCATCAGACACTGTGATTTAATCTGCTCGACCCACAAAAAGCTAGCAGGACACGAGGCACAAGCTTGGTTGTGTCCTTGTTTTGGGGAGCCTCCCTTTTGGGTTGGCTTGGAAAATGGAAGCCGAAATAAAGCCACTCGTTTCCGCGGAGGTCCCTAATTTTTGGGACACGCCGCCCAGCGCACGGAGGGGGGGAGGTGGGAATTTGCGTTTTACGTTTTGCTAGGTTCTCTAAGATCCGATGTGTCTTGCGATTTGATCTGAGAGGGGCCCACTTGGTTTTGAGACCCTTGTCAACAGATTGGGCTGGTTCTGGAAGCACTGCGAAAGAGGCCAAGCTATACACTGACGGCCTCAGACCGATCGTGAATCAGGTCCGAAAGTAGGCTGTGGGAGGTATGGCTCTTTGCAGCAGTAGTGCAATAACATGTCCGACATGAACAACATCAGCATGGAACGAAGATCACCAGTTTGTTTGCATCTCCAACATCCACAAGTTCCAATGCTCGTCCATTGCGCATCGACCTTCCACTCTTTTGCAGGTGAGCAGAACACTTCCAAGCATAGCCTCTTTCCGCCTATTATGACAATGCTGAAGTGAGACGCGAGGCCTGTGTCCTGCTGGCCAGCATAGTTCAACTTTTTTTTTGCGGGCAAGGGGGCAGGGGTTTCGGGGTTGTGTTTTCCTGTTACTCCATATTCAAGTCCAAATACCCTTGGACACGTCCCCCTGAGGAGCTATTTGCCTCCTGAATTGTATGGACAAAGAAGGGTGATCACTGTTTTGCACTTGATTGGAGAACAACCCGGGATGACAAGAGCCCTCGACTCGCTTGAGCCGATGCCGGCCTTTCCAACGCATCTATTCACCCACAACTTGGACCGCCTTAAGCGGACCGCCGCTTCGAGTCATGGAACCAATCACGCCACGCAAGGGACATCTCCCTCCTCTGCCCCAGGGTTCCTAGATCCCCCTGCGCATTTGCTTGCGCAACATCCTTTGGGCTCAGCGTGCGGCCGGGCGCAAGCGCGAGAGCGCAAGCACAGCCGCGAGAGCTTTGGCTTTTCCATGGCGGCTTTGAGTCCCAGAACAAGCTGGGGCGGGCCGGCGGGGAGGTTAGCTTGTGAGAGCGACATCCAACAGATAGCCCCCCCCCAAGTTTTGTATCACTTCCAAAAGGATACCCTAAGGATGAAGAGCATGAGGGAAGCAGATGCAATTGCACACCAAGTTTCCCTGATCCTCGTACATCTGTGGTCGATTGATTTTGCAATGCTTGAAACTTAAAGCATTTGCTGAGCAGGTGCCCCCTTGCGCTCTGAGCCATGCAAACAAAGGCACTGAAGGAAACAATTTGTCACTGGCTGCAGGAAATGAGAAGCTGGTGACGGTCTTATTGACCTGGGGATGGTGCCAGCATATCGGTCCAAAATCCTGGCAGTCTATGATCAATTTAGGAAGGACACGGGGGAATCTCAGAACTCCAGCACGAACATTCATAAACCCTGGATTCGATTCCCTTGGTTTGGTGGTTTGGTGGTTTGGTGGTTAGGGCATTGGTGGTTTGGTGCTTTGGTGGTTCGGGCATTGGTGGTTTGGTGCTTTGGTGGCTAGAGCATTGGTGGTTTGGTGGTTCGGGCATTTCCAACAACGACGCTTGGATGGTTCGCCCTTGACGCCTTTTGAGGCGTGCCCGACCTGATGCAGCGAGCATGCGAGATGGCGCCTGCAAAAGCTGGTGGACGACTAGCGTTGGGTTTGGCCACATTTGGTCCAGGGATGAATTTGCAGCTTGCGAGTTCGTTTTGGGGACAGCAGTTGCGCGCGAGTTGTGCAAACAAACGTACTTGTGCCTTTGTGCATCTATTTTCGTGCACGCAATATACTTCTCGACTATATACTTGGTACACAATTGCACGCTGTTATGCTTGGAAGTGACTAGTTGGGTAGGGAATGCTGAATAGAGTTCCTATAATTATTCCTGGACCTGAACCAGACAGGATTGTCAGTGTTTTTTTGGTCGAAGAAAATCGAACGCATTCGGTTTTTAAAGTTGCACGACCAATACCAACGCCACTCAATACTTATCCTGATGCTACACCCATGATGCATTTTGATGCACAACCTATCTTTAATCCAATACTAAATCGATAGTGAGCCAGTGCGAAGAAGTACCGAACCAGTGCTAAACAACGCTTGCTCACCGACCACTTGCGACCGATCATGACCCTCAATTTGTTTCTACAGACATGTTGGTTGCTCCAATGTTGGATGACCGTTGGTCAGGAGCGAATGCTTGTCGTGTTTTTTTTCAGGCAGCTGGATTTCCGTGGCAATGTTGTAGAAAGCCATCCAGCAACGGCACTAGCATGAAAGAGGTAAGTCTCAATTGGAGCTGACCTCCCACTTCGGAGCCTCAAGTTTCCTTCCCTCAAGTGACAGTTTCATCGGAAGCCGCTCCCCGAACTAACATAACACCTACACCACGCGTGAGCGTAAGACTCCTTTGGAGGGCCCCTCTGGGGTTCTCAGGTCTTGGGGGACGCGGCAGATCGAAGCGAGGTACAGAGCCTGCTGAAGACGCAGGCGGCGCACCAGCGGACACCGTATCACCCCTTCTGTGCGCAGATCCTGCAGCTTATGCTGAAGGAGACTCGTTTTTTCTCGCCGGCTCGTTTTGCCGCATGCCACGCAAGGCAGCCGTGATGTCCGGCCCATGAAGGCTTTTTTAGTAAAGAGGATGTTGGCTTAGTTGCAGTTTGGGAATTGTAGCAATCCCAATCCCAGTTGGTTGGTGTGGCTCCCTGAAAGCATAGGGAAAGACAGGGAGCAGCGAGTTGGAACTAGGGCCCTGAAAAGACCTGTCCAGTTCTTAGCCTCGAGGTGGAGTTTCTAGGTTGGGATGTTCCAGGCGCGGAATGAGACGCAGGGGTGTTGCATGCTCTCCGTCAAAAAACATCTGGTCAAATCTAAGCAACTCACAGCACTGTTTGGCAATTGTTAGTTTGGACCTCAACAAGGACCGCTCCAAATGCGCTTCTGGGCGTCAAGCCATTCTGACTCTGACTCTGCCTCATGATCACGTGACCTTTCTCGCAGCTGCCGCTACACCGCAGCCCATCCGCCTACCGGATTCTTCCTACCGAAACGAGCCTCCACGTGCCGGAAACCCTGCCGACCATGAGGCCGGGAGCCATCCGCGGCTTTTTCGGGGAATGCGCCAAAAACCACAGGTGCCTATGGCTGATCCTGGCGCTACCCGCTGAAGGCCTGGCAGAGTTGATGGGCACATGCGAATATTCCCCAACTTGGCATGGGTGTGACGCTTCCAAAGGCGGTTCTCGGCAGACTCCATGGTATCAAGTCAGAAAGCCTGGGTCTTCATCGCATCTTGCACGTGTATGAGAAGGCTGATGGCTTTGACCGCCGGGTTGCTTTGTAAAGCGTGGTTCTGCATATTTATGCTTGGGTGTGAACATCCTGCGTTACCTTTGCTGTCTGAGTTCCGTGATGTCGTTTAATTCATGACTCAAACAGCCGGTCTAAGGCGATCTTGTGAGCCACCACCTAGCATTCCTACCCTTGACGCCCCTCCGAAAAGTGTGGGTTGAGAGAGGCACCTCGTTTTGCCTCAGTTGTTAAAAAGCGAATGGTTGATAGCGCAAGTACATCAGTCGCAGCGTGTAAGTGATTGTTGAGAAAGCTTAAATGTAGATGCTTGCCATGTATGAAATAATTCTTTGGTATAGCGGGTTGGCTTCGGCTTCTCCTCCCTTCTAATGTTTGCAGACTCAAGTGATCCATCCTTGAGGCCATTGTCATTGTCACCAGTCCCATGTTTGAATGACCCCGCCCCGCCCAAAAAGCCCGTAGCACTTCCCATTGTGGTGTTTCATTGCATTACATATGTTTAATGCAATGGCAATGTAGCCTGCCTCAACCGTTTCTTTTTTGAAGGTGAAATGTATGAATATGGTTTGTCTCCAGAAAGGGGGGGGTGCTTCCCTTTAAACCAACCGGAAAAGGGTATCCTCAACAAACAAACACACTCATATGGTCGGTTGGAAGATGTGAACAGGGCATCTCCTGAGCAACCGGTGTTCATGGCTCAATGGCACTGCCAAACCACCACAATGCAAGACATGCATAGAAATTATACTCAATAGTGCGTAAGTATTATTTTTTCACAGTGCGGCGGGGTGGGGGTGGGTTGCAGTTGGCCCGTTCGTTTGATGTGGGCGCAAATGGTCCATGGGGTTGCAAATGTCTACAATCTGCAATTTGCGGTAGGTGTTTGTCTTGGTGTTTGCCGGCAGGTTGCAGGCATAAACGTTTGTCTGACTGATGTTTTTCGTGTATATTATATATATATATATATATATATATATATACACATATACACTTACACATGATTGTGTGTGGGTGATTATTTTGAGAGTTATTTCAAAGAGAAACTGAAGGAATACCCCATTTTGCGGGCAGCTTCTTCACGTGCTCTGGTCGAAGCTGTGGATGAAGTCGTCGCAAAGGGGCCAGGGTTGGGCTATGTTCAGAAGTCAACAACCAAGGGCAAATCCCAAAATCCGCGCAACATACCTGGACCAGATAAGATAAAAGATGCAAGCGGTGATGTCATTCAAGCGGTGGTGCCCTGAACAAATGATCACAAACAGCTCATGCCCAAAAGACAAGGTTGTACACACACATATGTATATATATATATATATGTACATATATATATATATGTATATATATATATACATGATCGGTCACCTGCGTCATCGAAAGGTCTGTGTACCTCGTGCCAACTGAACTACAATGGAACTCAGGCAATGCTCTATTTCTGGGATTTCATGTTAGGATGTTATGTTGCTTCGTGGCAGTTTTTAAAAGACACTGTCGGGTCTGCCACGGATCGACCTAATAAGTGAGTTATGTGCGGTAGGCGTGGAACGGTCAAGTATCATGCTCTTTTAAGCTGATAACAATGAAAGGCTTCCCGGGTCCAAAATGGACCGCGCACAGCGAGCTACGCGCCTTCAAGAAGCGAAGCCGTTGTCTGGCCAGCGGGGTACGGCAGGTGTTGCATTGAGTGCAAGCCGACCTGTCTTTCGGCATCAGAAGCCAATGTGAGCAGAGGTTGAACAGATGCGAGCGCCACATTGTCAACCGCCCTGCAGTAAGTTGCTGTAATGGCTCAGGCCTTCAAGCGCCAACTTTTGTCTGGCCCGGTGTATACATTTGTTTGTATATGTGTATATACTATATACGCACAGGCGCGACCCGGGACAGCCACATGCCCAGGCTTGCGCCGCAGCACCTGTGGCCTTGCCGGTGCCTGCCCGGGGTCTCCCGCTCCTCGGCTCCAGCAAAAAGGGTTCCACAATGACGGGGTTGGGCAAATTGGCTTTGGCAGCCAAGCCCTAGTCCTCTTTGAGGTGAAACCATCCCCCATTCCAGAAAAATGCATACAGGGGGGGACCTAGGTGCCCCGTGCATTTTTGCTTTATGCATTTTCAAAGCGTGCATCTTTGCAGGCGATGCCCGGTAAATGTGAAACCAAGGCTTGTTCAAACAAAATGGTTTACGCGTGCTGAAGCAAAGGGTTGGCAACCCGTGTGGGTGGGCGCGGGAGATACTACTTGCATCGTCAAAATGAGTTGGCCCAGTTGAAGGAGACAATTATCCTGAATTTTGACATGCACTTGCAGGCGCATGTGCCATTCAAAGGACCATGTGAGAGGTGACATCATGTCGGAACACAGGAGGTCAGCCAGCAGTTTGTCCAATGCCAAAAGGACATGCCAGTGGGAAACACGTATTTGGAGAGGGGCCTTGAAGTCAAGGATCCCTTTTAACCTTGGGTTGTAAATGCTTATGGCAATTCCAAAAGTAACTGGGATCCGTATGTGGAGCTGTCGTTTCCGTCTCCAATCGCACAGGCCAGCCACATACGTGGTGCGAGGGCTAAACTCGCAGGGAGTTTTTCTCCATGCGAACATTTCCCAGCCGGATTTTGGACCAAGGTGCCTTGGGCTCAACATGCCTCCTGCACTCAGACGGTGCTTTTCCACAACTCCTGCAAGCAGGTGCAGCAGGACGGAGAGCCGTGGCCAGAAGGGGTAAATAGGGCGCCAGAAAGATGGTGGGTTTCTCGTGGTTTTCCACCAGCCAACCGGGGTCCCCCATTTTGAGAAGCTCTTACAGGGAAACCCAACCACATTGCAAAGATAAATTGACTCTGAAGGGCGGGCATGTAGGCGAGGCAGGGCAGGGCAGGGCAGGGGCAGGCAGGCACAGGCGGGCAAGGCAGGGCAGAGCAGGGCAGGGGCAGGCAAGGCAGGGCAGAGCTGGCAGGGGCAGGCAAGGCGGGCAAGGCAGGCAAGGCGGGCAAGGCAGGCAAGGCAGAGGAAGACAGAGAAGGAAGAGAACCAGTTCCGCAGAGTTTGGCTCCCAGCTCTCGTGGTTTTGTGTTGCTTTCCGCCGTGTTTCGCCACGATGCTGTTTGTTTTGTTAGCCTTGGAAGTGAGCTTTGCGGCTGCAGGGCCCTGCACTGGCGCCTGCCCGAAGCTTTCGGATGGGCTTTACTGTCCTGTGAACGATGTGACGGAGCATGCCGACGTCAACCGAGACGTGAAGTTGATCAAGGAGCTGCTGAGCGCGGGCGACTACGCCGCGGCCAAGGGTGTGTACACCAGCGGCAACTTCTCCTCGAAAGGCCTGGGGGAGATGCGCACCCTGCAAGACCTCGCCCAGAAGGATATGACCTCCGGCGGCAAGTACACCAACGTTTTCTACAGCGGGGCTCTCGCCTTGTACGGCTCCATCAACGCCGTGTGGCATGACCCCATCATTGCCTGCCTGGACAACACCAGCTTTTGCGCAGGCAAGAGCGACGACTTTCGGCAATACATCATCAACAAAGGACTCATTGGCGTGGTTACAGCTTACGTGACCTACGAGATGGGCGCCGCTGTGTGGAAGGCGGAGCAGGGCCAGCTGGAGGACACCAACGCAGCGTATGCCTGGGATGAGGCTGCTGCCTTCTATGTGGGAAACATTGCGGCTGTCATCGGCGACGGTTACACCGGCAGCGCGCCGGGGAACCTCTACTCGCCTTACGAGTTCAACTGGAAGCGTGACAGCGACTTCCCTGAGGGCATCTCCACTCACACGGAAGCGATCCCCTTGCTGAATTTCGGCCTGATGAATGTGCGCGGCAGCTACAATGCCACCAACGTGCAAGCGGCGCAACTGGCCATGTACAAGATCTTGTCTATCGCGGCGATCCGGAGCGCGATCAAGTATGGCTGGAAGGCCTACGGTGATGGTAGCTTTCAGGAGAAGTATCTTGCTGAGGGCTGGGCGTACTGGCGCTCTGCCTCAGGGTACATCTCTACGGTGAACCGAACTGCCGTGGAACAGGTGGATGCCATCTTCGACTTGTCGCAGACTTCTTTCACGGCGGATGCCGCTTGCGAGGTAAAGAAGCTGGTGGAGTCCATGTATGCAGACCTAGGAATCACCTGCGCCATGGTGGGCAAGTGGAAGGATGCGCCCACTGGCGGCTGCCTGGACTCCGCATGCCAGGATGCTGTGAACATGTCCCTGCCCGACGGCTCCACCACCTACGCGGACACGTGCGAGGC